AAAAAGCCACAAAAAATGTGGCAGAATTTAAAATAGAACAAAATATGATTAATTTAGAGATATTTGGAAATGTTAGTTAGGTGTGTATCTAAATCTTTATTTTTCTCTATTTCGTGGTTTACACTCAGAAGAGTATTTTCCTGAACTGTTTTGAGACTAATACATCCAAAAGTTCAGTTGAATGACAAATTTTACTTTCCATCTGGTCACTGGTACCTCACAAGAAACACCTCTGTGCTCCTGGCATATTTTAGAATAATGTTTGCTGAAAGCAAGGATCAGACTAGGTGTAGGAACAGTTCCCTGAGTATACCTGTGGGATGGAGGTTGCAATGGAATCACATTGATAAGACACGTGTAGGAGAGATCACAGTGCTGCTGCACACACTCATTCTCTCTGCCTCACAAACATGCAGATCATTTGTAAGAACAGAAATATTAGTTTCAGAAGCTCTGAAAAGCTTCAGTTCATAATCACTGCAGACAATATTTAGAAAAAAAGAGGAATTTGTTGTTTTTATAGCCCAGCTGACTCCCCAAAACAGGTTCTACACTACCTGGTGGCCTTCTTTCCTTCTGACCACTGTCATTTCTTTTAGCAGACAATGACAGAGGAGCACCTGAAAGAACTGTAGTCCAAGGCCTGAAACAGTGCTCTGAGAGGAAGCAGCAGTGGACACTGGATGCTTAAAGTTATATAAAAACAAGACAAATTTGAATGCTATAAGTATCTTATAATTACTAGTTTAAGGATTTCTTAAATTAAGCATGACTTCAGATATTTGTATTTAACAGCCCCTGAAGGATTTTTTTAGTCTTCCTTAAATTTGTCTGAATCAATTTCTACCTTTGTTCATAATATCCTGTGGCAATGAGTTCTACATTTTAATTGCGATCATATTTAAAAAGTTATTAACTTATTTTAAACCTGCTGCTTGAAAAATATCACTTGACAACCTCTTGCTCTCTTTTTGAGAGCTAATGAATGGTCATCACTCCTGATTTTATAAACTTTTACTATATCACAGCTTTTCCAAATGGGAAGTCTTACTCTGTTTAATCTCCCTTAAAAACAGAGCTTTTCCGCACTGTTGCTTATCCTTGTCACATTTGTTCTTGCTTTTCTATTTCTGCCTAACACTTTTCAGATAAGACTATTAGAATGCACTGAATTACTAAAAAAATATAAATGTCATAGTGATTTATATGCTGCCTTAATGATGTTTTCTTTTACATTCTACCTTCCTTCCTTAACAACTTCTAGTATC